TTCATCGAAGAGTTTCCACCATGGACAATTTTCTTTGATGGATCTGCACATCGTAATGATGCGGGGTCAGGTGTGGTGTTGATCTCGCTAGAAAGACAAGTCTTTCCATTCTCCTTTGGTTTAGGTGAAACATGCTCCAACAATGCCGCAGAGTACAAAGATTTGATCGTCGGTCTCGAAATGGCATTAGAAATAAAGATTCTACAATTGGAGATCTTCGACGACTCTAAGCTGATCATCAACCAACTTTTGGAGAGTTACAAGGTAAAGGATGAATATCTATTGCCATTCCAAGAATACGCTTTTGGTTTACTTAAAAAATTCGACCGAGTATTCTTAAACCACGTCCTAAGAGAAGAAAATCACAAGGATGATGTTTTGGCTAACTTGGCCACGACGATGGCACTTGGAGAGAATGAGTCAACAAAGGTATATGTGTGTCATCGATGGGTTATTCCTAGACTTCTGGATCTTCAAATCAACGAAAGTCATCATACGTCTGTTCGAGTGATTGAAGAAGAAGAAGATTGGAGGCAACCATTTATAGAGTACCTTGAACATGGAAAGTTACCTGAAGATCCACGACAAAGAACAGATATCAAACGAAGAGCACCACGATTCATCTTCTATAAGGGGACATTATTTTGCCGCTCTTTTGAAGGACTATTCTTGTGATGTCATGACAAAGAAGAATCCCGCCAAGAGATGGAGGAAGCACATTCTGGATTATGTGGAGAACACCAATCTGGTCCCAAACTCCATTTTTGCATCAAGAGGATGGGCTACTACTGGGCGACAATGGTGAAGGATTGCATGGATCATGCCAAAAGATGTCAAACGTGTCAATTTCATGCCAACTACATCCACCAACCTCCAGAGCCTCTTCACCCAACTGTAGCTTCATGGATTTTTTATGCATGGGGACTTGACATTGTTGGATCACTTCCAAAGTCATCGAAGGGACAGATGTACATATTGGCCGCTAGGACTACTTCTCTAAATGGGTGGAAGTTGTTCCACTCAAGGAGGTGAAAAAGGAAACCGTTGTCGATTTTATCAAGTCATATATAATCTTTAGGTACGGCATACCAAGATACATAATCACTGATAATGGAATGCTATTTCACAACAAGCTCGTGAAGAGTCTATGCGAGAAGTTCAGTTTCAAACAACATAAGTCTTCAATGTATAATGCACCTGCTAATGGCCTTGCTGTAGCTTTTAACAAGACGCTTGGTAACCTTTTGAAGAAAGTTCTTGCAAAGAACAAGACAGACTGGCATGAGAGAATTAGTGAAGCTTTGTGGGCATATCGGACAACCTTTAGAACTGCTATACAAGCAACTCCTTACTCTTTGGTATATGGCATAGAAGCAGTCCTGCCGTTGGAGCAACAAATTCCATCATTGCAGATAGCAATCCAAGAAGGACTCAATCCGGAGAGAATGCTCAACTTCGCCTAGCAGAGTTAGAGGCATTGGATGAGAAAAGATTGGAAGCGCAACAAAAATTGGAATGCTATCAAGCTCGACTAGTTAGAGCCTTCAACAAGAAAGTGCGGCCACGATCATTCCAAGTGGGAAACTTAGTCCTAGCTGTTCGACGACCCATAATCCTCAACAAATGCATAGGTGACAAGTTTACCTCAAAATGGGATGGGCCATATGTTGTGAAATAAACCTATTCAAGTGGTGCATACAAGATTGTCGATAAGGATGGTCTCAGAGGTGGTCCGATCACGAAATTTTTTTGAAGCAGTACTTCCAATGAAAGTCACCTACACTCCTCGACGTACGGTTCTAAACTGCAAGTCATGACGCTCCTTGATGCATGAGCTTAAACTGCACGTTGCTACAATCCTGGCCTGCATGAGTCTAAACTGTGTACGGCAAAAAAAAGAGTCTGCTAGGTTGAAAATCTCGAAAGAGGCGGCCTAGGAAAAAGTCAAGACCAAAAAAAAACTCATCCCTCTGAACTACGTTATGACTTGATCCTCTTCGCCGAGGTACGTAGGCAGCTTAGAGTTTCATTCTAAGTTCAGTCGCATGAGTTTTAAAAAAATAAAAGTTTGGCGTCATCGGATCATTACATTAATTCTTCCACATGTAGAGGCACATATATATGAGGAAAAGAGACGATTTGCTTTGAAGTATAAAAAATGCTTTATTGCTTCAATAGTACAAAAGTTGATACATCAAAAAATGTAGAGACAAAAGGAATTAGATGTTTTCCTATACAAAAGCCTAAGTCATGAAAATGATTGTAAACTAGGCTTTGTGGCCGATTCATCTTGAATGCTTCTTCCAAGTCCATATGATGTCTCCACATTTTAATACACTATCCTCAATGCCTCGTATATAAGAAGTCATCTCTCTTGAAAAATCTTCAATCACCACGGGAGACGCCATTGATAAACTTCAAGACCGTCAACAAATCAAGTGCAATAGTTGGTGAAAGGGTGACTCCGCATCTTGTATGACATCTCAGACTGATATCTGGACTCGTTGAACTTCTTCGCAAGTCTGCATAAGAAATAAACAAAGAGATAAGATTCATGATGATAGCCAAATCCATTACAAGGCTGTAGAATCAACTTCAAAAATATTTGTTAGGATAACTAAGAATGAATGGAGCTTCATCTTCAACAAGATTATAGTTCCCGACGTCCGAATTTCATAGGATCAAACTGTTGGTGATTTCGACACTCCTAGTTCAAGATACAGTTTTTCTGGCCGAAAGCACGCAAACCTGAAAGTTCCCTGCAGTCAGTTCGACATTCAATATTTTTCTTTTTCTATCCCGAGAAGAGTGTTGGGATGGAATTTTTATGTCTTGCAGCTCTAGGATTTTTCTTTCCAACGGCACAAACAGATTGTAATTCCAATACTCCTAGCTCAAGATACAATTATTTTCGCTGAAGGTAAGCAAATATGAAAGTTCACTGCAGTTAAGTCAATGTGGCGAATTTTCTGTTGATAGCCCGAAAGGAGTTCTGCCATGAAATTTATAGGTACTTCAGGTTTCTGAGCTTTCTTTCTAACACTGCAAACGGATTGTAATTCTGACACTTGTAACTCGAGATATGAATTTTTCCACCATAGCGCGCAAAGCTGAAATGCAATTTTACGGACAAATGGGTCAAGTTTAGAAAGTTGCTGCGGATAATCTGCTTAGAATTATTCTATGATATCTTGAATATTTCATTATCTCCGAGTCTTCTTTCTAATGGCGTAGACGGCTCATGATTTGGACATTACTAGCTTGAGATATATACGTTTTGATGACAGCATATAGTGCAGTAAAGTCAAAATGTCAGATATGTATACCAGCTTCAAAAGTCGACTCCGGCTAATCTTGAAGGAATTTATCCGTGAATTCTTTAAAGGATGTAACTTTTCAAGTGTTTATTCTTTGAAAGCAAGAAGCTTCAGATTTCATTGCTCCTACATCAATGAATTAATAATTTTGCAAAGGTTCGCCAAGCACTCGCTCGCCAAGGATGAAATATGGTCGCTCGAGTTCCAAGCCTCTTTTTGCCAAGTCGCAAGGCTGAGATGCACCATGTTCTTGCTCGCATGTTGCAAAGTGGGGATATGGCTCATCGATCAAGCTCGTAGGAATACTCTAAATATCTCTCGTCAAGCTGCAAGAAGGGATGTACCAAGTTGTTGTTGTACTCTCTTGAAAACCTGCAAAAATAAGAAAAGATTTTGGAGCCCTCGGTGCCAACAACACGAAGTTTTTAGATACGGTGCCAATAGCACGACGATTCAGCACCATGGTGCTTTAGTTTGACACAAAAAAAAGGACATCAGAAGCAGCACACCAGTCTAGTTCAGCATGGCAGGTATCGGTGCCCATGGCACGAAGCTTTAACTTGCAACAAAAAAGAAAAAAATAATTGGTCTTGAACAACGATCTCCATTGCTCCAAGTTTGCAAATTTGGCTTCTCATGCTGGTGGAGTCCTTTAATATGGATTAATTCTGAATAAAGAAGCAATACATGAAGCACAACTACGTCCCTAAGTTATTGCATGGCGCGCGCTTGGTTGTTTCTAGTTCTCTTTTCTACCTATTTAAATTGAATGATCTGCTGCATAAAAAAAAGGAGAGAGAAAGCAAGTCATGATTCAAGAAAAAAAATTAAGGAGACAAAAAAAAAGGAATGAAAAAAAAGGCGAGTGCAAGCAGTTCGTGGAAGTAAGTGGAGATGGAAGAAGCTCCAGTATCAGTTTTGGTGCTTCGATCCAGTTAGACAGAGGAGCTTGATATTCAATTGTGATGAAAAACTAGTTGGCTTGGTCCTCTTTTTATAAGGATCTAACAAAGTATGAGCTAATAAGTGAATAAAACAAGGAGTTAGAATCCTAGAAGGAAAAAAAACGTTGCCTTGCCCTACAAGGTCAAGAAATATTTTTCCTTGTTTTCTTTTGGTAAAAAAGAAAAGAGAGCTAACGTGAGACAAACATGGAATGTTTTGTTCAAACCAAATTACATTAGCATGTATAGAATTCACGCATTTATTTTCCTTGTTTGCTCTTGGTGAAAAAGGAAATATGCCTAGAGTGAGACAAACATGGAAAGTTGTCTATAATTTGCAAGAATTTTTCAATCACCATAGTTTGTAATTGCTACTTTCAAACCAAATTACATTGCGTGCGTGTTCGATAACCGAAGTATTAGAAAGTTAATTTTTGCTTGGAGCTTATATTTAGCACTTCACATAAATGTGCAACTGGATAAAAGTTCGGACTTGGAGATATCACTTGTATCATTGTAATTATGAAATTTTTCGTTTGACTAATTGATTTTATGTTGTGTGTGTAATTTATTTTCAAGATAGTACTCGTATCAATTCATTCAACTTATGGTTACAGTTCTTTACTATTGACTAAATCTTAACGAAAGCTCATTCACTTCACTGCTCAAGTACCTAGGCAATGTTCATATGTTATACCAGTTACCTGCCCCATCCACCATTGAAATGTGGTTCTACTTCTAATTCCAAAACTCTGATCTTTACTAACTCATAAGCACATTCATGTTTATGATATATTAGACAAGATTTACATATGAACATAACAAACATCCATCTCTATATACAGTTTTAGTTCTGAATGATAAAATAAGCACTCATGAATGAAGAACATATCATTTTAGTAATGTCATCGATGCCTGGATTTCCTCAAGTGTCCGTCCCTTAGTCTCTGGTACCAGCATTGCAACGAATACAAGGACTGAGCCACAAAAGAACGCAAACAAGAAGAATACTCCTGGAAGTTTTGACACATTAGTAAACAACTGAACCAGTTGAAGGAATTAAAAGAGAATTTTAGTACCAAAAGGAAGCTTTAGGAAGAGATTGAGAGTGGCATTACCTGCTGCATTCCATTGGAATAGGAAATTAAAAGCATAAGAAACTATCCAAGAAGTAAAACAGTTGACCAAGGCAATGAAACTTCCAGCAGAACCCTTGATGTTTATAGGAAGTATCTGAAATAGAGATTGGCTTCTGGTTTGTTAATTAAATCTGCATAACAAATTGTATTTGACTTTAACATCTAAAAATTGGTTTCTTGACGTACCTCTGACATGATAATCCAGGGTGTACCACCCATGCCCATTGTGAAAAATACAGAAAAGAGCTGGTTATAAATGAAAGATTAACAAAATGATGACAGAATATAGAGGGTAATAATATATGAACAAGCCAAAATGGAAGTCAACAATAGAATGTGCATCTCAGGACCTAGGAAAGCAATAGGTGGTCGAAAAATATGGAAATGAATGAAAAATAAAGGATGTTTTCACAAACCAGTATGCCAATGAACACCATTTGAGAGGTTAGCTCTGCTGATTGATGATAATCCTATTCATGGTAAAGCAGAATCATCGATATAATGAGCATCACAATGACATTAGTGTGGCAAAAAGTAGACGGGAAATTGAAGAAGTAATTGATTTATCACCAAGTTTAGCACCTTTAAAAGAAACCCCAATGCTGCAAGAAAGCATCCTAAGCAAGCCCCTGCTGAAGTAATCTGCGACCAAAGTGTTGAGGCTTATTAAAAATGTACTTTATGGGCAAAGACACATGAGTACACGGTCATTGATCTAACCATCATAAGCAGTCGACGTCCAGCTTTTTCAGTAAGGATAATGCTCATGGCAGCAAATGGAAGCTGAAACGAAAAATGATTGCTTGAGTGTCCTTTTTAACGGTCTTTTATTAAACTGGAGTTTCAAGAGTTAGAGAACCTGGAGAACAGCCATGACTCTAGATGCTGAGTCTGCCGAACAACCTTGTAAAATGAGCTTACTTTTAGATGTATGCCTATAAACACAAGGCTGAAATTTTCTACTCCAATCAAAACAACATTTTTTTCTGACTGTTCTTACCAGCCGCTCTAAAAACTGAACTGGCAAAAGAAGATATCGCACTGTTCCCTCCAAACTGTACAAGAGCCATTAACCCTGTTCCAACCTTATGATATTGAATATCCACAGAAGTATCAGACATATCATCTAAACTCTAAACTAAACCAACTCGGGATTATGCATATAACTTACAATCAGTGGACGAGCATATTTTCTACTGAACATGTCCATAAATTTGGATCCTGAGTGTTGTTGAACTGTTTTAGTATAGTCCTGTTAAAATAGAGGAGAGATCTTAGTCAGAGCTGCTCTTCTGGAACTAGACTTAAAAATATGAAATTGACAAACACGTAAATAGAACTGCTCGATTAGACATTTTAGAGCAATCTGTTACTTTTATTTCAGCTGCTTCAGTGGAGATATCTGCATTTCCCCCCCTCAGACGCTGTAGTGATGCTTCTACCTCCTTATCCAAACCAATTTTCGACTGTCAATAGAACAACATTATATATCATTTACCAAGAGGAGCTAAACAGCTTAAAATCATACATAAAAGCAGCTCATCCTGAGAAAATATATAAAATAACAATAAGCATAACGAAGAGGAAACATAAATGCTTCACTTTGCAAAAGTACATATATATCCAATAACATTAGTATTAACACAACACTCAAGATAAAATGATTGCAGATTTTATTTTCCTTTATATTTATTTTTGAAATGGTTGGAGCACAAAGATCAGTTAATGCCACCTAATTATTCTTTGTAAATAACTAACTCACCAACCACCTAGGAGACTCTGGTATGAAGAATAGACCTAGCAACTGTATCAAGCAAGGGCTAGCACCTGAAAGGTCAACCGAATTCAAGAAATTAATATGGAAACCTCTATATAATCAGGCATCTTCCTTTTCAAATTCTTTTTTTCCATAACTGTTCTATGCATTGCACCATTACCTACTAGAGCTAAAGTTCGCCAGTTCATGTTATTCCCAATGTAATACGCCAGTGAAAAGCCAAGAGTCAGCGTAAACTGCAAAACATCAATGCTTATATATAGAGAAATTGAGTTGTACCCGCCAATCAAAATCAACAAATCTTTTCATTTACTGAAGCAGCTGCTACAAGGCACCCGCGGATTTTTTTTGGTGTGACCTCTGACATGTATATAGGTGCCTGTTTGCAATATAATTCAGGTCATATTATGCATCAGACCTTTGTTTATCTAAGGGAAGGAAAACGTTATCAGAAAATATTCAAAATGTTACCACATATAACTGAATTCCTGAACCAACTCCCATCAGCAACCGTCCAGCATCAAGCCACCAAGCTCTCTTTTGACAGGCACAAGTATGTAAGTTGAAGAGAACAAGGGAAAGGCAATGAGGGGGTCACAGAAAGATAGAGCTCGTAAATGATGATGTAGACAAAGGTGAATCCAACATATAAGCAGTGGGTGCACAAACTTGGACTTTACCCATGTATGTGGAAAATTTTAAGGAAAACATATAGTATATACTTTGTTTTTTTTTCCTAGTGAATATATACTTTAAAAGGCAGCCACTGCCTTTAAGTTCTATATTAATTTATAGATGGTGAAGACGACGTGCAACCACCTTTTCAAGCACTTTAGTCAATGTCACGTAATCGTCGAATGAGTTCCTACTGTTATTGTCCCAGTAGATTCTAATGCAACGGGACTGAGCTAATCAGATAATCGACATGCTATAGGCTAAAGACATGTTACAGCCATTGATTATATTTTCCAATAGCTTCTGCTGCAACTTGACTGGGTTAATCAGATGATCAATATGCTATGGGCTTAACACATGTTGCACGGCCTGACTGG